AATTATCAAAATTCCTCCTATCCATTTTCCTTTCTGTATTCCCTATTCTTTTCGAGAAAATAAAGAAAAACATTTTAAAAAGAACAGAAAAATCTCCAAAATGTTGTCTTCAGCTCCTGTAAACTCAAACCTTTGGCTTCCTTTAATAGTTAGCTTTTCCTTCTGCCTTCAAACCTTCCCAGCATAATTGTCTTTTCCAGAGAATCTTGCCTTTTCCAGATGTGCCTAGAGTATGACATTCTCTGTTTCAACATTTTTGCCTCTGCAAAGCTCTCCTCCAGTACCATATTTCAGATAGCATTTTTTCTTGCCGGGCTTCTTTACCATCCACCTTTCACACTTATACACAGTAATCAGGAATACAAGAGTGTGGATGATCTTGGTCTCTTGTCTCCACTGACATGTCCTTACACTCGCTTATCTTTTCTAATTACTCCATTACTGCCCTGAATCTCAGACTTCTGATTTCCTGGCTGAAGCCTCAATTTGGACTGATGACTGAACAAAGGTATACAAAATCTTTCATCATTTCAATTACTTCACTGTTAACATTAAAGCTCTTCTGTAGTCATGATTTCAGTCTTCTTAATGCTTTGGCACTTGCTTCTTTCGTTGCAAATAGAAGTCACTAGCTTAAATTACTGATGTATCCTCCGTCCAATATTCATGCCACCTTTTATCTGAATCTAATCTTGCTTTCTGTATGACAGATACTGCATAAAGACTTAACAGATACATGAAATACAAAGCACCTTTGTCTGACAGTTTTGCCTATAGGAAATCACTGTCTCTCCATATTTTGCCCTAATGATAGCTTCTAGTCTGGAATACAGGTTACAAACAGGACAATCAAGTCCTAAAGCATATACATTCCTTTTAGAACAATCGATATTCTCATGATTCACATAGCCAAAGGCTTTGCTATAGTATATAAAGAATCGATTCGTCTTTTTCTGAAATTGTTTGGTATGCTCTAGTAGTCAGCAGGTATTTGCACTATGATCTTGGGTGCTTCTTCCTTTTTAGAATCCAGCTTGACCATCTGGATTTTCCTTCTTTGTAGAGCCCCAGTCCTCTTCCAAAACTGCATTGATTCTTGTGAAGTCAAAGTACCCTTTCTTTTTAAAAAAATACAAACTCAGTAAAATCTTCCCATATATAAATTAAAATGTCCTTGCGTAGCAATCCTTAATTTTCATATTACACATTAATTTATCGTTAAAAGCTATATTTGAAATTTCCTTATACCATTCCTCCAACCGAAAATCATGCCTAACTTTCCATTTCTTTGCTACCATTAATCTTGTTGCTATTAATAGATTTTGAAATTAATTATTTCCTTGTCCAGAGCCACTGGGTATTATTAAATATTGATAAAAGAGCTATCTTAGGACAAATGTCTATATTTAACTTTAATATTTCATTTATTTCCTTAAAGACAGTGGGAACATCATTCCCATAATGCTTTAAGAACATTTTGTTGGTCCCCTGCTTCTATTAGTATCCTATAAATTCTACTTATCCCTTTCATTATCTTATTTTCATCTACTTTTTCCTTCTGTGCTATCATTGCTTCAAATTAGAGATGGGGGTATTCATATACCAATATCCCCGTGTAGCTGGAGTTAACGAGGGTCCGCCCCCTGGGGCTGGAACATCCACTCCTGTGTCCGCCCCGCTCTCTTCCTGCTTGGCTAGCGACTCAGCACCCATGCAGGGAGACTTGTCCTCCTTCCCCTTGCCTGGAGTGGCAAGCTGAGCAAGAAGAGAGTGGGGTCCTGGAGTGATTGGAAGGATGAGCGAGGCCGCTGCCGGACGCGTGAGTGTATGGTCATTCCCAGGGGCAGATCCTTGTTAACACCAGCTGTGCAGGTGTTGCTTTAAATCTTGTAAGATCCCTACATTTATCACTTCATTTTATCAATTTCCTCTTGGATGCCTGTATAAGAGCTTTCAATTTCATCTTCTTCAGCAACTGTAGTAGGAACATAGACTTATATAATGGTTATGTTGATAGGTTTTGCCTGAAGCCTGACTGATACTATTTGGCCAGACCTTGCATTATAGCCTCTAGCTGTCTCTGCTAGTATATCTTGCCTCAGTTTAAGAATCACTCAATTTCTTTTGAGTTTGTCACTTCCAGAATCTAATACTTGGTAGTTGTCTGACTGAAAATGTCCCATTCCAGTTCACTGACAGGAACCACTGCAATGTTCATACATTCAATTTCTTGCTTTACAGTTTCCAGTTTGCCTTGATTCGTATTTCTCACACTGGAGATATTCCAACTGTATGTTTTGTGCAGCACTGGACTCTTCACTTCTGGCTTTAATCTAGCTGTGTCATTAGCAACAGCACTATTAGTACTTGTCCTTCCCCAGCAGCTGACTGAGTGCTTTCCAACCTGGGAGTCTCATCCTCTAGCACTATACAGTGGTGCCTCGCTTGACGACGTTAATCCGTTCCAGCGAAATCGCTGTAGAACAAAATCATCGTCAAGAGAAAGTAAAAAGCCCATTGATACACACTGAAAACTGTTCAATGCGTTCTAACGGGCAGTCCAGCGAAGATCCTCCATAGGGCGGTCATTTTCTGGTGCCTGCAATGTGAGGAATCCGTCCTAAGCATAGCGGGGAGCCATTTTGAACAGTGGGCGGCCATTTTGAAACCCGACGATCAGCTGTTTTCTGATAGTCGTAAAGCGAAAAACCGGTTCCGAAGCAGGGAACCGATCGTTGGGAAGTGAAATAAGCCATTTCAAATACTGTTTTGTGATTGCAATAGCGATTGCAAAAACATTCTCGTGAAGTGATTTCGTCGTTAAACGGGGTAATCGTTAAGTGGGGCACCACTGTATTTTTGTTTTGGACTGACACATCATAGTCAGTGACAAAGTAAGAAAGGTTCAGCAGTGGTTTACTATTCATCTCATGAGAAGAGAGGACTCCCTGGAAAAGACCTTAATGTTGGGAAAGTGTGAAGGCAAGAGGAGAAGGGGACGACAGAGGATGAGATGGTTGGACAGTGTCACCGAAGCAACCAACATGAATCTGACACAACTCCGGGAGGCAGTGGAAGATAGGAGGGCCTGGCGTGCTCTGGTCCATGGGGTCACAAAGAGTCGGACACAACTAAACGACTAAACGAAATGAACCCTGCTAGGAGTCCAGGTTGAAATGGGAGTCTAACTTCCTGAAAGCACTGCTGTCAGCTTCTCTGACACACTCAAACCCCCTCAACACGTTAAGCTGTGCATCCAAGAAGGAACATTACAGCGTACAATGGCTTTTGGTATACTGCTGCAGAAAAACCACCTTCGCAGCCAACATTAAATAGGCTGCTGCGCATCAAAGCCCATGCTGGAACATAGTATCCCAGAGAAATGAATGTCATTCCCAAACCTCAAATGCTCAAATTCTTTTTACTGGCTAGAAATGAGAGATTATGGGAATAGCTGCCTAGAAGTAATAATTACTATGAATAAATGTGCTTTTTTGTTTTTTACATATACATATTTTACAATGCAATTTAAATGTGACAGTATTAAAGTGATTCTTGCACACTGCAACTAAGTAAAAATTTGAATAGTCATGAAACACATAAATATCAGGTGTAGGACTATAACTTCTTTGCTGACTGAACTGCTAAGCCATGGAGAAATCCCAACCTATTTTTAAGTATATCCTGTGATATAAAAAAGCAAATGACAGATTTCCCAAGGAAGATAAATCATTATGTAAGTAAGAGATGCCAAACAATGTTGTGATCTGATAATTTATTGCAGATATCCTGAAGAAGTGACTGGCAACTTCAAACCTATCTGTAATATGCACCATTTGCATTTCTTTCTCTCTCTCTGATTGTTCTCATGGCACCTTCTTAAAGTAACAAAACCCCAATGCCCCAGTGACAAGAAAAAAACAGCTGTGAGGATCAAGATTTGTGACCATGACAGGGAATGTGTCACCTTTACATTGCTTGAGAGTGCATTTCCTACTGCATAATTTCTTATCTTTGGCCATGCCAGTGAGAGCATCTAGGAGCTGATACTCAAAAACATCTGAAAACCCAATATACCCCATCCTGGGACTCTAGATTCTGTAACATTAAGCCCAGATAACAATCCAGACCTCCAGGCTTCCCTTGCTGACTCACTTTTTACTGACAACTGTACACAACCCCTTTATGTACAAAACTGCATTTCTTCAGTCACACTATCCTTTAACTGCAAGAACTTGTGGTATACCCGGCAGTTCCACACCTTCAGTCTCTGCTTGGTCAGAAAGCAGTACTTCCTTCCTATTTGGGCAGAGAGCTGAGCACCAGGATAGTGTGGATTTGGCCAAGTGGCTCTGATTTCCAAACAGTGTCCAAGCACAGGGAAGGAGGGAGTGGACTTGTCTGGGCCAGGAGAGTCAAGCACTTTGATTCATGCTTTCAAAAGACCTCCTTCTGCAAGTCTTTGAATTCTTGAAATAGTAACAGGCCATGATGGTGTACAGAAAGAATAAGAATGGGGTAGTCCTAGCCTAATTTGCTGCTAGCATGTTGTCGCAAACAATTATTTTCAAGGGAATGTAGAGAGGAAAAAGGGATCCCTAGCTCCTGCTCTGTCCTTTCTGCCCAGTGTCACACAAGTTTTCTTCAAGCTTCTTTCTTTCCTGGATTTTCTGTCTCCTCTGTCTTTTTCCTAGAGATGAATTCTCCGCCAAACTGCCTTCAAAGTCTTCTTTTAAAGTCTATTACTTACTCTGCATTTTTCACATCTCCTTGCCTGTAAGCTCCCCATCTTATCTATCAGGACTTCTTCCCAGTTTTACACCTTTCCGACGCGTAAAATGTTAATCCCAGCCAAACTGACAAATTCTCTGTCCCTCATAGAAGCTGTGTGAAATCGTTATGTTCCCTGAGCAACTGAATATTTCATGTCAATATACCAGCCCAGCTAATGTCACAATGTTATTATCAAAAGTGTAATATAACACAGATAACACATTTACCTGCTCGAGAGTTAGTTGCTTTGAAATGGTATCATTTTCCAGTTTTTTAATTTTCTTCATCAATTTGTTCACTTGGAATTCCTGTTCTTGTTCTAAATGCTGTTCAAGTTCAGCCTTCTCATGCTGTAGCTATAATAAGAGACATTGAAAATCGAATGTATTTTAAAGCTACACAATTCTTATAGGTAATACTGTACAACATTAGTGATGACAAACACTCAGAACAAGGAACATAACCACTAGAGGGATTTCTTAAAATGGCAGATTAAAATACATAAATTATGACAAAAGTAAAAGTGAAGAATGGCATTTGACAAAAAACAGGAAAGGTCTATTGAAATGGAATAAGACACAATACAATAAATGTAAGTACAGAATAAATCTTTCTCCTTTTAAAGGGATATTGTGCTGCTTCTGCTTATATGCTTACATATAGTGTTAGCAAGAGATGAGCAAGGTAGATGAGTGTCTGACAGATTTCTGGGTTATGCAATAGATGGGCAAATTGATTACGATCAGCAACAAGCAAAACACTGCTCAGAGGGAAGAAAGCTAGTGAGGCAGGAAGGGGAGAAACCTTTGATGAGTTTGTATGTGAATAGACTTATTCATAGCCTGAACATGTATTTTTGAATTCTAAAAGTACATTTTTATATCTCGCCCTCTCCCCTGGTTGCTATTTGCGACCTGACTCAATTTGCCGGCTCTCTAGTTAACAAATACAGCATCTGTCACAAACCAAGACTCCTCAATTCTAGTGCAGGGACAGGAAAATGAAGGCCTAGGGGATTCAGTCCAATCTCTCAGAGGCTTCCCGTTCAGCCCATGAATTAGGACAAGAGCCTCCCCCTTATTTTGAATTCTAAAAGTACCTTTTTTTTATCTCACCCTCTCCCCTGGTTGCTGATGCCTTCTCCTGCATGAAACATAACACATGCAAAGATTCTTTAATATCCCTACAAATATGCAAGTGGTTTTGGAACAGCTCTTCTCTTAATATATCAGCTGTTAACTTTAGCTACCTTGACTTGTCCTATGCATGGAAGACTGTACAGCTGAGATTCCTAACAGAGCTCTGGGGCAAAAAGGCTCTTTACTCTGTCAGCTGTGACAAAAGCAGTGTTTCTGGACAGAATCACGTTCATATATACAGTATTATCTAAGGAGTGTGGTTAAATGTGTTGCATGTTTGTACATTATTGATTTTATTTGAATGCATCTGGTATAGAGTGCAATATAAATTATTATTACTATTCAAAAATACCAGGCACAGTCAATCAAAATTATAGAAACATTGACTGGTATTATATAACAGATACAAGTTTAAACCAAAAATCTAAGTGTCTGTTAAATATCAATGTCGCATCTATGCTCTTCCTAATATTGTCGGGTTTTGTAGCTTCTGAAGATTTGTTTATGGAGTCTCCAATTGCTTATAATACTGTCTGAAAATTCTTGATATTGTTCCCAACGTCCTGATGACAATGGGGACCACTGAGGTATCTTTAACCCACAAGTGAGATATTTTAATTGCCAGATGTCTGTATTTTGTTATTTATTTTATTTATTTTTATTTAGTTATTAAACTTACAGAACATCTAGAATGTGTCTACTCTGGGCAGTTTACATAAAACTTAAAAAACAAACTAAAGGTAAAATCTGAATTAGTTTTTCCAATTCCTTATTCTCAACTCTACCATTCCTTATAATAAACTCTGGCATTGCAATGTCAATGATCTGGATATTTCTTCATTCTATTACTGCTATCTGGTATGTTATGTACAAGGTGTCCATCAGTTTGGATATGGAAATCCCACAAAATACTGACGTCATCATTTTCTGACACCACCTTTCCCTAATGTTCCCAGGGGTTTTTGGAGGCTGGCAAGTTATATTTTTTGCATAATGACCAGTGAACTAATTCTGCTACTCTATCATGTCTAATTTTGTAATATTTTTGTCCAATCTTTGGACATTCGCAGATGAGGTATGACAGAGATTCATCTTTTTCTTGGCAGAGTCGACATTTGGTGGTAGCACTAATTCCTTGAATCTTAGCTTCCATCACACTGGTTTGAAGTGCTTGTTCTTGTGCAGTGAAAATCAAGTCTTCATTTTTTTTCTTAATGGCCCCCAGTTTTAGCCACACCCGTGTTGAATTATTATCATGCTCTCCATCAATATTTCTCAGGTGTTGTCTATGTAGTGGTTTATTTTTCCAACTGTTAAATTTATTTTCAAATAGTTATTTCCTATATTGAGCTTTTGTTTCTATTGTTTTCAAAATATTCTCCATTTTCATTGCCTTCAGTAATTTTTCTCTGCTTGTACTGATATAATCATTTCAGCTTCTTTTTTCCTCTCTACTGTCTGCTGTATTTGCAGTAATCCATGGCCTCCAATATTTCATGGTAAATATAATCTATCCACATTACTTTCTGGATGTAGTACACAATGCATGTTCATTAGTTTCCATGTTTTTCAATCCAGTTCTTCTAATTCATTTTAGGTCCAATCTATTATTCTAGCTGGGTATCTAATTACCATGTGTTTACTGGCTCTGATTGTATTTCCACCAATTAATTTTGATTTAAAGTTTTTCTACAGTCTTTTGATGTATTCCCTTTCTGTCAGTTCTTTAACTTTTGTGTGCAGGATGTTATCTGCCTCTAGAATTCCAAGGTATTTTATTTTCAATTTTGTTAGTGATTTTACAATATTGGCATTTTAAAACTTTATTCCATCTAGTTTTTGAATCTTGCCGTGGTGTACAGACAAAGTTGCACATCTGTTCCAAACTTCATCTGAATATCTTCACTAAACATTCACAGTGTGTTTAGCACTGTATTTATCAACATCATCATTATAATAATTATCATCACTAAGCAGCCTTGGGTAAGGGTGCCCAGGGATAAAAGTTGTACGAAATTTAGAAATACTGAATCCACGCAATTAAAACATACAGTGGTGCCTTGCTTAACGAGGATAATCTGTTCCAGCGAAATCACTGTAGAGCGAAATCCTCCTTAAGCGAAATAAAAAAATCCCATTGAAACGCATTGAAAACCCGTTCAGTGCGTTCCAATGGGCTGAAAAACTCACCGTCCAGTGAAGATCCTCCATGGGGTGGCCATTTTCGGTGCCTGTATAGCAAGGAATCCGTCCAAAAACACAATGGGGAGCCATTTTAAACAACGGGCGGACATTTTGAAGCCGCCGATCAGCTGTTTTTAAAACGTAATGCGAAGAATCGGTTCCCGAAGCAGGGAACCGATCGTTGCAAAGCGGATTTTGCCTATTAAAACATCATTTTGCGGTTGCAAAAGCGATCACAAAACAGTCATCGTATAGCGGTTTCGTCGTTTAACGAGGCAATCATTAAGTGAGGCACCACTGTAATTTGCACCTCATGGCCTGCAGAGAAAAACTAGTACCAAGTGCATCTCCAGTGTGAAGTATGTTAGGAGATGAAAAGAAAAATAAAGAAATGAAGAAAGTATGTTGTGGTTCAGTTGAACATGAGAATTAAAGGAAACTCATGGGTATCTCTGAACATTTTGAACAATAATCAGTCACTCTGTGAAGCATTTCTTCTGACAAGCAGCCTCCATTTCAAGATGGCTGCTAATAGGGCATTCCATCTTCTCTGTTTCTGCAACGCATTATGTATGAAATCAATTACTGTGCTACATAAAGCTAACTGGACAAAATGGCTTTACAGGGCCTATACGTAAGTACACAGTTTTACTAAAAGCAACATCCAGGCATTTTACAGGTCAGATTAGCACACGTGTTACAATACGCCACTATGGGAAAAAAAAGTTCTCAGAGGAGATGGGTATCTGAGTAAAGTCTATTTGAATGTGTAAGCTTACTTTTATTTAACAATTAGGCTACCAGGCTTGAAGCACATTTCAAATCAATACCTTCTAGCACTAAAACTGACAAGCTGATACGTACATCAGTGTGTTTCTAACAATAATGCAAATCATGCTGATCTAGGAAATTCCTGCCAAGCTGCTAATGGGAGGAGGACTACAGCTCTCATATTCAGTCAGCTTTGCATTTACAATGTACTGAACAAAACCTTCTGGAAGCTTTTCCCAGATGCCACTTTTAATCTACTTAGTCCCTAAATTGTGAAAGGCAAAGGTTTAACAATGCATGTGCCCAAGCATTAGGAGGCAGCCGCTTTGCTAACTGTTTTGCAATGGCACAATGTTATCTGCAATCAGAGACCCTGAAAATCTGCATGACTTGAACATCCCAGAGAAAGCAGAACAGATTAATGTGTTCACCATGGACTTTGAAAACACTTTGTGAAACTATAAATTAACCAAGTGCAAACATTATACTATTTGAATGGCTGCAGAATGAGAGTTGCATGTTCGCAACATCCTGAAACTCAGTTTCAAAACCTTTTTAGCAGTATTTTCCCCAGCAGTACAAGGTTTTTAAAAAGCAGGTTTAATCCTTTAAGTAAAAACTTAAAGATGTCTCCATCCAGGAGAGCTAAAGCAACACTGTAGCATCTCTTGAATCTTCATAATGTTTGCTCAAGATGTAGTCTATGAGCTGGTTCTGATGTAACAATATCACTTTAATAAACCTGATTTATTAACCCAAGAATGAGGGTTATGCCCATGAATGTCTCTCCAGCACTGGCCTCAACAGTTACATGATGATACTCAAAATCCAAGTTTCCATTAGGTTCAAACAGAAATGTGTACAGTAGTTTGATTTTGCACTCCAAATCACAGTATGAAAACAAGTATCAATTCCCAGCTTCATAAATCGTGATTTCTCATTACATTCCAACTATTCCATACTGTTTTCTATGCCAGCTTCAGAAAAAGCTATTGGTTTCTTTAATAACCTATTAGAGCAAACGTTCCTCCATTAGTTTCTTATATTTCTCAATAGGCTACAGAGGAAGGGAAGCAATCCATCCTCTTATGTCCAGCTGCTCACTCACCTACTTGGAATTCCTAATCACCTGTGATGACCTAGTTGTTAAAAACAAGACTATTTTAATCTGTTCTTTTGTTTTTATACTTATACATTTCTTTCCCCCTTTTTAACATTTACAACTAGTTTTTGAGGCTATGACAGTAGTAACACAAAATATAATCCCTCAAACCAAACTCCAACTCTGAAACAGGTTTTTTTCCCTCTTTTAAAAAGTCAAGTAAAAGAAAAAGTACCTGCATCAGCTTCCTTGAGAGCTCATTAGTGAGAAATTCTTCTTCCTTTTCATAGTTGACTGCAAGTGTCTCCTTCTCCTTCTGCAAAGCCTGAATCTTCTTAAACAGAGTATTACTGATAAACTCCTCTTCTTGCTCTGCCCTTGCTTGCTGCAAAAGAAACACACTTTTAAAAATATGGAAACCACAGCAGAAAATGATCCAGTTACCAACTATGGACTGAACAATGTACTACATTTTTCTTTGTTAATTTCTTTCTATAAGCACTTCCAAAGACATCAAACACCAACATATGATCTTTAAGATTGAAATCCTGTTTTTCTGCTCATCCCTTGGCCATCCACCACCACTATACAACCACGTACAGTATTTCATCAATACACACATAAAAAAGCACAGAGCCAGAGACTATGGAAGCAACAGGAGGCAAATACATATATTGCTACACCCACAGATACAACAGTGCCTACCTCTACATGGACTTGGAACATGCCATAGAGACAATAACCAAAGATTATTACATTTATTATTATAGACATTTAATGAGCTCCCTGGGACGTGGTGGCGCTGCAGGCTAAACCGCAGAAGCCTGTGCTGCAGGGTCAGAAGACCAAGCAGTCGTAAGATCAAATCCACGCGATGGAGTGAGCTCCCATTGCTTTGTCCCAGCTCCCGCCAACCTAGCGGTTCGAAAGCATGCAAATGCAAGTAGATAAATAGGGACCACTTTGGTGGGAAGGTAACAGCGTTCCGTGTCTAAGTCGCACTGGCCATGTGACCACGGAAGATTGTTTGTCTTCGTACAAAATGCTGGCTTTATGGCTTGGAAACGGGGATGAGCACTGCCCCCTAGAGTCGAACACGACTGGACAAAAATTGTCAAGGGGAACCTTTACCTTTACCTAATGAGCTCCCTGATGTAAATAGTTTTATTTCAGGTTTTTTTTTAAACTCCTACAAAGACAGCAGATAGCATAAATAGCAGATCTGTGTGCATAAATGTGCTTCTGCAAAGGGACTGTGATTGCAGGACCAAAACACAAATGTTTTTAAACAACATAAAATGGAAACTTGTGCCCCCCATCAGTTTGGCCATCATACTAGTCATTATATTTAAACATAACTCTTTAATTTCCATTTATGTATCATGCTTGACATTAATGGGACAGAAATCACAAACTTATTTCTGGAGAGTGATGGAGAGATAACAGTTCTCCATCGCTGAGTTCAGAGTACTCCAATCCCACTGTAGGCAGAGAACAAGTTGCTTTCCCAGGACAAGAAAGAATGGAAGCAATAAGCTATGTCCTACTATTGTACAGCTTCGCTCAATCCATTCCCGTGGCCAGCACCTTTCTGACTAAACTTTGATGGTGACAGGCTAGGGTAGAACAAAGGAAGAGTCAGGTGGTCATTCAGCTATCTAACCTAGACATAAAGAATGCACAGCTGCTGTTTGGTAGACTGCAACTCCCATCATCCTGTGATACTAATAATCTGATTAGAACTTCTGGAGGGACACATGTGTTTCTCATCTCTTATGTAAAACCCTGAAAACAATGTGAATGATTTATTTTTGTGTGCAGGCTGGTAATGACCAATTAAAAGTATATATTGCTCAATGGAACCACACATGTACTGCAAACAAAAACCTTCAAACAAGAAGATAAGGAAATACACCTCTCTGAAATTTGGAACGCTACTAGTCTCTGTAGACTATACTGACAAATCAGTGGGCCTGACTCATAATGAAGGCAATTTTCTATATACCTATTATACCTGTAAGCCGTGCATACTGGAGATGCTGCAATGTCAAGAACTGGAGGTGAACACTCTGAATTATCTCAGTACTATCATCTGCCACTGAGGGTGTGGCAGGAATTATCTGTGGGAGTTTGCTAGTTGACATAACGCTTGCACCAGCTCAGTTTGTTTGGGGTGGCAGCCAGAACAAAAGCAACAAATCCAAGTACTCAACTCAATTGAGGGCAATGGCAGCTGCATGGGTGGAGAAACTCTCTCCCCCCAGCTGTCACTCAGTCACTGAATAGTTTTTCTTGCCAGTCCTCTATTAAAATGTTCTTCCAAAACCTTGAATTTCTGCCCATCCATTACAGTACTTCCATAGAAAATTCATGCCAGCTATTTCAATAACAAATGAAAAGCCTGTTGAAATCAACTTGCCTAGCTCTTTAATCATCCTCCCTTTTCAGCAACTATCCCACTGTCATAAATAGTACAAAACCCTTCCTTACATTTGTGTACTCTTTCATTGACAGGCTAAGAACAAATCACACTATTTCCTCCTCCACACCTTTAAAATCTAGTTCTTGCGCAGAAATTATCACAAATTTATTCATGCTATTTCCCTTATTACAGCTGTGGTTTCGACTATTGCTTCTGCAATACTGCCTTTTAAACTGCTTTTATACTCAGATGGTCTTGCTGTCAATCTGAAGTACAATCCGCACTATCTAGTATGCACAGGTTGTTGTAGTGCAGTGCTATCCCATCTTGGATCCCCAGATGCTGTGGGACTACAACTCTCAGAAATCCTGGCTAGCACTAGTGGTGAAGACTTCTGAAAGTTTTATTCCAAGAACATCTGGGAACCCAAGGTTGGGAACTACAGTGGTGCCTCGCTTGATGACGTTAATCAGTTCCAGCGAAATCGTTGTTAAATGAAATTGCTGTCAAGCGAATTTTAAAAACCCATTAAAACGCACTGAAAACCCATCAATGCGTTCCAGTGGGCTAAATACCTCATCGTAAAGCAAAGAATCTCCATAGGGCAGCCATTTTCTGGTGCCTGTATAGTGAGGAATCCGTCCTAAAGCACAGCGGGGAGCCATTTTGCACAGCGGGCGGCCATTTTAGAGCTGTCGATCAGCTGTTTCAAAATTGCCGTCTAGTGAAAAATCGGTTCCCCAAGCAGGGAACCGATCATCGTGAAGCGAATTTTTCCTATCAGAACATCGTTGTGCAATCGCAAAAACTTCATCGTCAAGCGGTTTCGTCATTTAACGAGGTAACTGTTAAGCAAGGCACCACTGTATTAGATCAAAACTACCCAGCATAGCTTGAAGCTCCTGCTCTCTGGTTATAGCTCTTTCTCCTAACTTACTCCACAGACACAATATCTACTTCTGCTACACTGGAGCTGGGAAAGTGCAACCCAGCACACCTTCCATAAAAACAAAAGGGAAATTAAGTCCCAAATGATCAATCACACCTCACAAAAGGTGCTGTGGGCCATCTGGAGTGTGTGTGGCTTTTTAATGAAGGAGCTGTTGTGGGCACTGAGAAAGGCTGAAGAGTAGGTCTTCTGAAAACCCTGGAGAAGTTGCTCAATCCTATTCTACATCACCACTGGCAATATCTGAATGATCTCACTGTGTATATATATGACACAGTGGGGCACAGAAGAAGGAATCCTTCACAATCACCAGACAGCCAGGAGTTCACCTAGAGATTTCATCTTCACATTGCTGAGTTGGCTGGATAGCTTAGTGAGCTGGCTACATGGTGGCAGAGCCAAATATTGTGAATTTGTTCCCCTACTGTGTCTCTCTGCAGCACCGGGCAAGTTGTGTAGTTCCAGGATGCCACTAGAAAATGGAAACCACTTTTGAATATCTATACTTAGAAAACCCTGGAAAAGGTCACCGTGAGTCAGAATCAACTTGATGGCACATGATAATTATTACTTACCATTGCTGTTGCCACCCCCACCCCTTGTTTCTATGGGTTAATAGGAATTTGAACCCAGGTGTCCTGAATCCTAGTAGTTCATTCAACTTTTTATACTACACCTGCTCTCCTTTTATACTGCCTGCAAAATCTATCATGCTAGCAGACTGAGGACTAGGGGGAGGTATATCAAAATATACTGGGAATGAGTCAGTTACCATTGTTTTGTTAAAGTGAACAGAGCCTTCCAGCTGCATCTGATACTGTACATTTGAAGAGCATACTTTCTATAAGAACAAGCCATCAATTAGTAGGCACTGATTTTTTTTATTTTTACTAGAAATCCCTAATTCTCCATTCTGGGAGTTCTACTTCACATACCTATTCCCACAGACAACTATCCATTCTCCAGTGCTGCACCTGGAGAAACTCTAGCTGGGAAGGCTTCCGAGGCCCAGCACAGGCCTAACTCTGCCCTGTCTTCCTATGCAGGAAGGAATCTAGGAATTCTAAGCCTATAATGCAGCTATAAGTATGTGAGGTGGACCTCCCAGAACAAAGAACTATGAGATTTGCAGCACAATAAATTCAAACATCCCATGCTTATCAACTAGTAATTTCAAGAAACAACTAGGCTGGACAATTGAGTTATTGGGAAGACAGGTAAACCAACTGCTTCCTTTCTCCCTGCTCAAGTAAAGCCAGGCTGCAGGCACTCTAAGCTGTTGCTTTCTAACATTTCTTCCCTCAAACCTTAATCTTCTCTCCTATTCTTTACCAAGGGCACCTACTGCAAGTAGTGGTGCCACCTGTTCCTGCACCATAAGCTCTGTGTTGTTATCCCTGTATGATACAAATTCAAGCTATCCACCGTTTTTCAGAACAGATATCAGAAGAGATGGGGGATTTCAACTGTCACGGTGCTTTTAAAAGCACACACCAACCCTGAAATTAACATCGGCATGACCAGGATCCTGGTAAAGAACGGCGAGATTCCACAGTTTCACTGTGGCTCTTAGCAAGATCTTTCACACACGATCCAGCAGGACTATGAAAATACAATACAGCATGATAAAACTTTGGATAAGATTTTGTTCTTCAATAGCTATGGTTTCATCTTTCCATGAAGAAGAACGTTAATGGAGACTAAGTACTGTATCCACTCTCCTTTGGGCTACAATAAGGAGCCCATGGTTTCACTCCCCTCATCTCACAATTCTTCTGCAGAAATGAGGAAGAATGCTCTATCTGCTCTAGCAGGCATTGAAAAAGAACCAAAATAGGAATAAAGAGAAAGCAGGGACATAAAAAAACACTTTAGAAATACTGGTTTAATGCATATTGAATCCTGGGTCTCTTCAAGGACCATTGAATAAATCTTAGAACTTCCTTGTACACGTTACTTCATAAAAACGAAGCAGCTCACTTACTGTACGGTTTGCTTGTAAAATTCTATGGCA